TTATTATTATTATTATTATCATTATTTAATAATAAAGCGAGTGTTTTTTTTAGTGTGATGCACGTTCAACTCGTCGTTGTAGGCAGACGAGATGAAACTCTCGGCAGTTTTGTTGGTATTTGCTGATCTTTCAATAGTTTCTTAGTCGTCGGAGCCTCTGAACGTTTTCTTGATTGCATAAAGTCTGTAACAAAAGAATCGAATTGTAGAAAAACAGGCAACAACATGCAAAAACAAATCAAAACTAGTTTCGACAGCAATAATTGTGAAGAAGTTCCTTGTTTACAGAACAACAAAATAAACATTGAAAAACTCATTAATGCTTCTAGGTTTCTGCTACCTACTTAACATATTAACTATTTCATATTTAATTTGAAATATTCTCAATTTTTACCCACTACACACTACCTCAAATTAATGAGGAAAAATTGTTGCTGTTGTCACACCCCCGCCGGGAATCGAACCCGGGCTCTTTGGCTTTACGCGCCAATGCTCTGACCACTAAGCTACGAGAGATGATAGCCAAAGAGCCCGGGTTCGATTCCCGGCGGGGGTGGGACAACAGCAAAAATTTTTCCTCATTAATTTGAGGTAGTGTGTAGTGGGTAAAAATTGAGAATATTTTATATTAAAACTAACTCACTTCCGAAAGATTTCTACATTGTATGTATATTTCATATTTGTTTATAAAAGAAGTGCACCGAAGGTTCCGTACAAACTTGAAAGTATGCAAATGGTCTGTCGTTACGGGAATAGATTTTTGAAGACTTTTCCCGCTTTTTCTGAGTATACTTTCTAAAGTTTTCTTGTGAAAAGACATAATTAAACACAAAAAGTATGATTAATTAAATACTGGGTAACCTCTTCATTCTTACTCTTGATAATAACAGTCTACCAAGTGTTTTATTAATTATATTTTTTTGTGTCTTTCTGAGTATGTCTTAAGTTTCACCCCACAATTAGTCCCCAAAACGTATACCTAATTAGAATATTACAACTAAAAAATTATTATTTTGATCTTTTGATAGACTTAATTTTTCACAACTCCAAGGAATTCAAGACCTGAGTATTCAACTTGATACTTCAACGCATTCCTGAGAAAAAGATCTTGACAGACAGACGGACAGCAAAGTTATCTTGTATGGGTTCATTTTTTTCTTTTGTGGTGCGGAACCGTAAAAATTGCCTTTCATTCTCACTCCTATTATAGAAATTACAGTAATAAAAATACGCGCAAGTCCAAGCAACAACAACAATCAATCTTTGAAATACATGTAAATGTGTTGTTTTGTATTCGTGTAATAATGGCGAAAGATTTATCAACATTTTACAGACCCTGGTCTTTGACCTTTCTCTTTTCATGCTATAATTTAGAGATACTCTGATAGAGATTGAAAACGCTTCTAATAGGAAATATGTACATAAATTGTGTAAATATTTACAACATTCATTAATATCAATGGGAGGGAGATCCGATGCTGCTGGGGAAACAAACCCGAACTTAAATGCAAAATTTAATTCGAGTTACAGCGGTTTAAACATTTAATTGTTTAAAAAAAAAGCAATGAAATAATGGATAAAAATTTTTTTTCTCTGAAAAGATTAAGATGTTACAAATCGATTAAATTTTGAATTTTTTAAAAATTTCCCCGAATTTGAGGCCTCTTTGCCAGAACGCGCGCGCAGAACTTTTGTTCTATGAGAGATATGAAAAAGTCATCGATACTTTTTTTTTTGGAAAATGACATTGTGAAAAACTTTTATTAAAACTTTTCTTCCACATTTCGCGAAATAATCGAATTTGCAATTATTTTTGCGGACTTTCTCCCCCCTTATGACGGGCAAATAATTTTCATTTACATATTCGTGTTCCTCACGAAATTTCGTATAAAATGACCAGTGTTTCAATAATTTTATCCATTATAAGGTTCTCTTCACCCATTTCCCTCATTTGACTGGACTTTTTAGGTATATCAATATTATGCATATAAAAAAACAAAAATAATTATCTGTTTATGTATCAAAATTCAAACATTTGAGTGGCTTGAATTTTCATATTTTAGTAAGTATTAAAAAACATAAATTATTAGTTATTTGAGACGGTCTTGTGCGGGGGGTCATGTGCTCGTATATCTGCATGAAATTCTTTCGTGAGGTCACATAACAGACCAGCCGGTCTATAGGAAAAGTGTCAAATAATATGCACGAACCATATGGTGTATGTATAATAAACGTAGGTATATAGGACCTTTTTTTTTAAGGAGTGGTTTTCTCCGCATTTCACGATCAGTTACTTGAGAAGGAAACTGTTCCGCTTGATTTAAAATGTTAATATAATGTACAACATTTTGCGACACCTGAGAACCAGCGGAAGGATGTGTGTAAATGCCTAATTAACTATTATAATTGCTTATTTTAAACAGGATGTCGCCGAAAATATAGACATAAAAAAAGGAAGGAACTTTTGCAATCGAGATTTTATTACAACGTTGTTAAATATAATAATCTTTTTAAAATAATCAAAAATCGAGAATTTTTTCAAGAAAATCAAGTGTTTTGAAATTTTTTTTGTTTTTAAGTTTTCATTGATATATTTCCTATTTGCTAACAATTCTAATTATTTATAATGTGTGGACTCGTCCACTCGGATATAAGAAACAGACTGGGATATTATAAAAGTTCAATAATATTAATTTTTCTTTAGGTACAGTTCTCTTTTTTGTAAGGATAGGCATTTTATAAGAGAAAAAAGAAAAAGCCAACACCAGCAGTAACCATTTTTATAAATATAACAAAA